AATTTTCTATCACTATGCGAGCGAAGCCGCGGGTAAAAGCTAGTATTGAATATAAGCACCAGTACTACATTTATTTACGATTTGCATACATAATAAGCTTTTATTACTCTCTTTCATTTCTAAACAGACTTATAGCATTAAATGTTTTAATTTATTTATACCATAATTTAGTTTTACCTATGTCCTTAGCAGGTACTAAAAATCCATTTGATATCACGCTCCTGAAAAGAGTTACTAGCATCTCCGCGGACCCTTGCATCTGTCAATTTTTTTATTTAAAAATTAATATCTCAAAATCTATAACTCCTAGGTATAGGGAATATTTAACAAAGTGACCCATTGTACCCATTAAAAATAAGAAAGTTAATGTCAACTTCCGGTATAACCGGAAGTGCAATAACGTTTTAAATATTTTAGCTGTGTTGACCCTACTTCCTTTACTAGGTTGTCAGATTTTCAGATTTATCGGATCAGTACTTTCCTGGTGGAGCACCATGTATACAATTATATTTCAAAGAAAAAGTATCTAGTCATTTTCGAATTTTTTAACCTAAAATAAACTTCAAAAATAATTCTAAAACCATTCATTTGAAAAAAATGAGCCGTTTTTCATTTTAAATACCTACTATATCCGAAAAATTGAATGGCGTAGAAATTTGCCCTCACAAAATGTTATATTTCTGTACCAATTATTATTTTTTTGAATTTCTAATGATTACAATTATATTGTATTTTATAATCGTATTTGCAACAAAAAATCCTGTGTTATTTTCTTTGTGAAAGAAACAGTGTTACTTAGAATAAAAAAATAACATTTCGAAAATAACTCGTTTTACAATTAAAGTGGAACGTAATATGTTTCCTTTGAAAAACAACTGCGAATCAAATAAATTTGTTAAATTTCCAAAATACTCAGTGGTGTCAAAATTCTGAGGTTCTCAACTGGGATGTTTCTTGATATCTCCGCCAGTGGTTGCGTGCGTTCTAAAGTAAACAGGACTTTTTTGACAAAACCGATTTATTTTATTCAAAATAGTTCACTCCAACTCTATACAGCAATTTGCACGGTCTAAATATCTGTACAAGTCTTTTGAATGGTTTCTACGTCCACAAAACGCTTTCCTTTCATCGGCAAATGCATTTTTCCGAAAAGATAAAAGTTGCACGGTGCCAAATTAGACAAATACGGAGAGTGATTGAGTTAAAATGCGATTTTTAATAAAAAAAAAATCGGTCACAAGTGTCAATCGATGAGATGGCGCATTATCGTGCAACAAACGCTTCAAACGCCAAGAATAGTGCATTAACGCCTCTTTCACACGGGCGTTGTTTTACCGATCGGTAACCCACCGTCAGACCTGACGGCGACGTTTCTGTGTGTAAAGATGTATTTAACTATGTGTAATTTAAAATTTTAGTCGTTGTTTTGCCGATCGTTTTAAATGCGGACCGGTAAAACAACGCCCCCGCCCGTGTGAAAGAGGCGTAACGGTTTGGCCCGGTGCCGGTGGAACGAACTCTTTATGGTCAATATCCTTGGAATCGTAAAAGCAAATCAACATTGTCTTCACTTTTGACTTCTTCAAATAAGATTTTTTTGGCTCGTCAGGCGCCATGCACTTGGCATTTTGGGACTTGGTTTCTGGATCATATCGAAAACACTACGTTTCATTACCAGTCACAATGTTTTTGTCCTTTTTGGCCTCCTTGATGATTTCCTTCGAATGTTGTATTCAGAGTAATTTTTGGTCGTCAGCCGACTTATGTGGAACACACTGTGCACACTTTCCTGTAGCCAAAATGTTTTGCTAAAATAAGATAAATTGTTGTTTTTCAATTTCAATGAATATTTTGGCATATTCGATGAATTCACGCCCAATTTTAATGGTTGGCCAATATGTTGCTCATCATTTACGTCCTTACGACCATTTTTAAACCACGTACACCACTCATGAACTCTGCCACGGGATAAACAGTATTCACCATAAACATGGTTCATCAACTGAAACGTTTGGGTAAAAGTTTTATGAAGTTTACTAATGCCACAAACGTACTGTCACTTCAGACGCAATAACTCCGCTGCTATTCGTCCAAATGTCATGAAATTTTGACAGTATATCAGTGAAGGATCTATCTTTCCGAAGCATATAATTACCTCACTAGAAATACCTATTTTTGAAAAGTCCTGTTTACTTTGGAACACAATATACTAATCAAATCAGTAGGGAAAGTTACATTTCCCTCGTCTTCCATATTTCCAGCATTTTGTTAGCGACTGACAGTTATTACGATTTCCGTTCCCATATTTTCATTCATAGATCTAATATGTTTTCATTATTGTATATGTAACTAACCTCACTTATACCTTCTTATATCCCAGTTTTATGTTATGTTGAGTAGTTGTTTAGTTATCTTGTGCTTGTGTCTTTTATTAGTGATTATTTATTTATAAGTAATACTATACCCAATAAATAGTTAATAATGATGAAATAAAAATTATAGTAGACTAACATTTTAAAATCTACTTAGAAAAAAATACGCTTTCGTGATTTTTTGAAGAAATTTATAAAATTCAGAACGATTTTATAATCTAATCTAAATTATTTCTGATGAAATCCAAATAACTAAACCTGTATTTAACAAAAAACTGCAAACTTCTCTTAATAAAAAAAAATCAATCAATCTTGGTTTACAATAATTAATCAGAATGTTTACTCTGTGAGATCCGCCATATTCTTGGCGACTTTTTCTAGGGTGAGGGTATGTATTTAAAAATTACATACGTAATTCATTCATAAATCATTTAAAATTCCATACTGATTTGATTAGTATACTGCGCTTTGGAACTTACCTTGTAATTGGATACAAATTCCGTGAATTCTTATATTTATTAAGGTTTTCTATTACTTTAACACTCTGTGTAACGAAAACTGAGCTATTTAGAACATATAATAA